TTTCTTCAAGGATTGTAAGAGAAGAGGGAAGGTAAGAGATTTCTTCTTCATCACACTTCTAAGAGAGAACTGAAAGTGCTTGTAAAGAGAGAAAGGCTTGGAGAGAACTTCTACGAGTTTGCTTGGGAAGGATTGTGAGATAAGTTGTGTCTTTTATTTCTTTTATTTTGTAAACTTTTTTTATTAATGAAATCCTTATTTTGTCATATCCTTCTCATAAATTCTAAGTAGTCTTCTTTATCCTTCTCCCTACTTTGAGATATGGTTTTGTGAAGAATTAATTTTTTTTATATGGTTTTAAATGCCAATAATTTGTGATGATTTGAACTCCGATCTTCATTTACTTTTTGATTTGGCCAATTGAAATGTTAAAATGTGTTGAGAAGCATATGTTTTGAAAGGGTTATGATTTCTACAGCATAAGGAGAATCACATTTGATTTCATGAGAGTGTATTTCATCCATGGAATTAGGTGAAATTAAATAGGGAAATATATTTTATTGGATACAGAATTGGAGATTTTAAGGTGACAGATTAAGATCTTTATAAAATCTCAGATTAAAATCTTTAATTTGGTCCAGTTGATTGGAAACTGATGTGAGATTGTTAGCCCTCAGGGGAGGGAGTAGTGGGAGCTCTGGAGTGGCAACCAGTATCCTCCTAGCTTAATCACAGGATTAGGATTCAAACTCTGAATTAGTCAATGTTCTTTATGCACTTGGAAGAGGGTAAGAAATAAGATTGCTCCTATTTAGCACAAAACAGTTTTTATATATGTTTTCAAATGATTTTAATTTCTTCACAAACCATATACTCATTTTAAAAGTGAAGGATGCTTTCCGTAAATGAGACTAACTTAAAGTTGAAAATTTTTAATGTTAAGAAGTATGAAAATATGAGTTTCTATCTGATTCAGAAATATTGTAAGGTCTCTATATTTAGATTTTAGTTCTTTTATTTTCTCTACTTTAAAATTTTTATTAAAAATAATTTTACTTGCTATATTATATTCATAAGCTTAAGATTTTATCAAGTCTTATACTTTTAAAAGAAAATCAAATGTAGAACAAATTTTTTATTAGGCACTTTACTTGAGTGATACATATACTTACG